GGGTGATACATTAATGAATTAAGAGAAATAAGCTCTAAAAGAATGTGTCCTAACATGTACCTTAGCAGACAATAACAAACACGAAGTCAACACATAGATGAAGTCTGTAATTTTTTGACAATATTAACAGTAACACAAAATCAGAAAATATGAAACAAATGTATTGACAACTTCTACAGTCTTGGTATTCATAACATCTAGAAGTGCAAACTAAAATACAAAGCACTTGAAACATATAGACGGTAAAGAAAAAAAAACTTGGAAAAAAGAAAAGATTGGTGTTTGAGGCAATGCTTGCTGGAACAATGCGAAACAATGTTAGTTACACAGATCAAAAAAAAAAAAAGATTTGCACAGTTAAAAAAGATCAGATATAATTTTTTCCTGGGAAAAGAATGGTCTAAAGTTATTGACACTGGACGTCTTTCATTGCTCAGCCAGAATTCTTGGAAGCTTATATTTGGTGTAATAAATCAAGGTAACTGGTTCATTCATGTTTTTAACATCCTATAAAAAAATATGTATATTATTAAGGCGCACACAACGTTGCATCTCGAACCATGTCTTTAACATATATTTCTTTAATAAATTTGTATGATTACGTAATTGAAATTAATTTATTGTGACAATTGCAAATACAGGCTGATTCAAAAATGGTGCACTAACTCGATGGTATATTATTAAGTTCACAAGTCTAAGTTTGAAAAGAATCTTAAAAACACTCAACGTCAATTTGACGTTCACGTAGAAAAAACAAAAAATTAATGTACACAGATATTGTCAGATTCATTTTGAACAATTTTAAATTTGTTTGTAATGTTGTAAAATGAAGAGAACTATGGATAAAGACACGTATACTCCCAAAAGTAATTTGAATAATCCGATCGATTTTATGTACCCAACACTAAGTAGTGAATTAAAAATGGTCAAATATTAAAAAAAAACATGAACTTTGAAGGCGTAATATGTCTTCTACATTTGGACACAAGGATCATTAAAATTATTTTTTCTTTGCTGGATTTAACAAATTGTCATTAGTACGCCATTTTTGAGTCACCGTGTAGATTGTGTTTTAGCACTAACTGTAACACTGTAATCGTTGTTCTGTAACAAAAAAAAAATCAAAAATGTTGCATTCGTAGATTCTGATACAAACTGTAAAACCTACTTCCACAAATGTTATTTTTAACAATAACCCGTTTACGCATCGCTAAAACTATAGATAAATTATTATTAAACCAAATATAAACAAGTATGTCACACTAAATTAATAAAACTTTGAAATTACCTTACGTCATCATGTTTTTGATAAAGACGAACAAATGAATCTGTTTTATAATAAACCGAGTTAAATTGAAATTGCCAACAGGTGACAGACAGACAGGTCTATTTTTTTATATTCTAGAAACTAGAAAAAATAAATCGGAGATAAGTAAAGCAATAAAATTGATTTATTACTTTTATTTATTAAAAGTAGAAACAAGAATGTAAATACCAACAATAATTAATGCTAACAGTTTTTACAATTTAACTAAAAGAACCGCATAAACAAAACAAAAATGGAAGATAAAGAAATTGACGATCCGAAAAAAAATCTCCTTAAAAATGTCTGAGTAACAAATACAAACAGCAAATGGATATTATAAAAGTTTCGTAGAAGAAAAAACGAAAACATGAATACTGAAAAAAAAAAGAAGAAAAAACCTTTAATGATCTGAACACAAAAACATGAAAACGTGGGCACGAAAAGTTTCAATGTGGTCTGTAAACAACCATAGGCCATATAAAATTATTCAGCTATACAAGAACTACTGAACAAGTGCCCAAAAACGTGAAAATTGAGACTTTCTGACAAAATTTACCAAAATAATATGAATAAAAATACCAGACAACGAAGCAGCCGCAAAAAAATTGGTATATTTACTGAAATGTATTTGTACATAATGTGTTTGAAAATAAAAAACATTGAAACTAAAACAGGTTTGCTGAAAATTTCAACCAAAAAAAAATGGAAGAAACATCAAATAATTGACTTTTGGCACGACCTACGGTTTGATTTCTCTTGATGCTTATTAGCTTTGACTTGCATGTCAAAAATATTAGAAACCAAAATCTCTAAAATTTGAAAGATTTTTTAATGACACTTTTTTAAATAATTTCATTATCTTCCTCTTTCCCATTGTTATGGGAAAACACGAACTGGGAAATTACATTTTTTTAAAATGTATGTAGAGAGTGAAAATGTAGTATTTTAAAAGAAAATTAAAAAGCAGTGGACTAGAACATTTTGACTTCAAATGATTTACATGCATACTAACAGCGAAAAACATTCTGATGGTAAGAAATTGTAAGAAGTAAAATCTCCTCAAATGAAAAAGTTCAAAGTGGAAACTTAAAATGTCGATATTGCAAAACAAAATAAAGGTGAAATTTGAAGCGGTATATAAATGGAAGCATTAAAACCTTATGCAGCAAATTTTTCCAACAATAAAAAAAGAAAAATAAAGTGCCGGTTATACAAAAAAGCAACATCGTTAAATTTGAAAACTTACTTAATAAAGAAATTAAATACAGGTACACTGTCTTGTCGTTGGCATGTGCCTCCAAGACACAACAACAAAAATAAATCTCCCGGATATTAATTAAGCCAGAAAACTTAACAGGTGCATTAAACGTGATAGATTTAAGTACAAAGTAAACGTAGATTAGTTTTCTGTAGATTTTGAATTTAGCGAATATTGGTGGATGCGCCGGGTTTGAACACAAAGCATGCAACAAAATCCGCATAATAGATTAATATTGCTAATTCCAACCGTATGTGGATAGGGACAAATTTAATCATAACGTAAAAGCAATTGCACCCCAAAGAATGTTTCACTTTTAATTGAAATGTAGCCTTTATTTAAAATCTGATTGCAGTTTCGCTGAAAATGCAAGCAAATTATAAATTTGTCGCTATTTCAAAAATTCTTATTATCACGGTGAATACAAATTGTAACACATATGAACAGAACATAAACAGCTATGTAGACAAAGCAATGGGCATAATCAACAGTGGTGTAAATACACATGACACGTAATTTGAACCCGTGACATGCAGACGCAGCCGTCGCTTTATTATCGCCACCGCCGGCACTTTAATAACGCCGCCCCTCGTCGAACGAAGCCTTCACAGACTTCCTTCCTTCAAGCTTGCAACCTACGTCATCGAATTAAATATTTTGGACGTCTCGAACAAGGTTTGAATTTCAATCATTCCAGGTTTTTCAGATTCTGACATTCTATCCGCAAGCTCTTATAGAAAAGAATTTGCTTATTTAAATAAGAAAAAGAAAGGCTCGAGTCTTTCATCATTAATGGCCAAACAGTTTATCGAGTTTCTATTTATGTTCGGCTTTAATTTCTGTTTATTTTATTGATGTTTGGTGCCGCCTCGGGTCTGTTTTGGGTGTAGGATTTACATAACAGGGCCAAATGGACAAATTATTTATCACAGGCGCTTTCCCGAGAGAAGATGCTAAATAAAAAATAGTTATAGTATACGGAACCTGTCGGGGAAAATTAATGAATACTGTACATTTGGCATTTCTTGTGTTTTTGAAGTAGAGGATTTATTATAATTATATTAAAGATGCTCATTCCTAAAATTCATCTGCATTCTGTGTTGGCTAATCAGATCTGGTATAATTTAATTTATTAGGTATTACGCTACACAATCTTTTATATGTCATCCTTATTAATCTTATTAAAGCCCGAGAGGTTAAATTTTCATTATTAAAATTGTTTGTTGTTGTCAAGAAAATATTTTCACTGATTATGCTTTATGCTTGTATTTTCGCTGAGCAAGCACAAAGCATTCTATTGCCACTTCTTACGAATAGGCTCAAAAGCTTCAATGCTTTTTGTTATATGATATTAACAGAGGTAAAAAGTTCAGAATTTCATCACAGATGAGAATAGTTGACATCGTTGGAAGAGTTTTCTTTAGAAATGAAATATGATTTAGAGAATGTAATTGTTGATTTATCAAATGATCACAATACGTAGAAATGTGTATAATTCTATTGGTGCACAAATACAGCTGCCATTTCGTTCGTACAGTGGTATTTATCAAAACAATTTCAATCCGTACTATTCTCTCAACTCATGTGCTATTCCTGATAGCCTACTGAATAGAAATATTTCCATCGAACTGTCCGGATGTACATTGTTCTATTTGAAACGGACGTTCGATGAATGGCATTTTACCGTCACTTTAAAAACGAACAAAAAGTCGAAATTTATACTAGGAGTTATCTAGTGAAAAATGTTTGAGCGATCCATGTCATTGGGAGCTGCACAATTGAAAATTTGCACCGACGTATATTGTTAGTGAAGTGTTTCATTAAAACGTACAAAGTGACCCCGTGACTACATTTTGAAAAAACCATATTGAACATTCCAGACAGAAAGTTCATTGTTAACGGTAAATTCTTGGTCAGGATCATCTCTTTCTATCGATTTCTCTTAATAATTAAATTTCGTCGGCTGTGAGTGAGAAAAAACAGTGTAAAGAGGGATACCTTACAAAGTCCTTGTCCAAGGAAACAGGGCACAGTGTAAACAAAGATCTATACTAATAACTTGTAGGATTTAAGTCTAACCTAGAAAATGCGCAAAATAAGACTCATTTGTTTATTAGAACTTTAATAAACCTTAAGTACGATCTCTGACAGGTGAATTAAATATTTAATTCGAATTGAACTTCAATATTGGATTAATCCGTCTATCTGAGCATTCGATTGCTCAAAGTTGAACACGTGATTGATTAATTGCGTGATTAGATTAATGATTAAATAAGTGCTTCTGTAATCCGGACCTTAGTGTAACTTAGACTCTACTTGTGATGCAACCTTAACAGCACATTTTTTCGATTTTGTTTATGCTTAAAAGCTCGTCAATCTAGCTGATGTTTCCAGATTGTCTTGAAATATATATTACTAAATATATTTTTGTTTCAGATGACGAATCGGCATCTGTACAGGGCATCATCACGAAAGATGGACTATTCGAAGGCACGATTTCCACAGTTATCGAGGATTACCACGTAGAACCCGTTAGTCGTTACCTCTCACCGAACGAAACGAAACAACCCTCTTCATTTCACTCCATCGTGTACAAATCGTCGGACGTTCGAGATCTACGCAAGGGTGTTCCGTGCGCCTCCCAGCGCTTGCATTTAAACAATTTGGACGAAAACACGCTAGATAAAGAAAATCATTCAGAGCGTAGGAGCAAAAGATGGCTGCTAGAGGCCGAAGCGAAACTCCCTTACGATGACTCCACTTTCTGGCATCCGAATAAAACGAAACATTCTTTTTCGCCACCGTTCGATCTAAATCAGCCTATTGATGAAGAGCTCGACTTGATTACTACTAATAGAACTAATGTCGACATCTCGGGTCTTATTTTTCGTAACGTTAATAAAAGAGCCACCATCGATCCGAAGAAGACGACGTGCATGCTGTACCTGCAGGCTGACCACCAGTTTTTTCAAAAGTTCGGCACTGAGGAGGCCTGCATTGAAGTTATGACGAGGCATGTCCAAAGGGTGAATGCCATTTATAAAGCTACAGGTAAGAATTTTGACGAAAATAATTAACATATGTGGGGTCTTCAGGAATGGGCTCTTGTTTGAACTCAAAGCGGTATGAAATTTCATGGTGCTCTCAGATAAAAACCTTTTATAAGTTCTACTAAATTTCGAATTATATCACCGCCCTTATCACATCACCTAACGTCGTTTGTTCATGGAACGGATGTCTCAAAATGTCTCTCTTATAGAATAACTCCTTTGTTAGATGGGATATGGGTATGCGGTTTTCGAATAACGTTATATGTCCTCCTTTTATCTAATTATGTACTTGGCGGGGGTTGATTTGAAATACTTATGATATAATAATACACATAATGGATGTACTACATGAGCCAGAATTTATATTCATTCATAATATCTAGCAACGATAAAAATTTAAGATAATAACAAGTTGAATATTAGTATGCAGTCTCCAACTTTCAGTTTCATATACACGCTTGTAAGGAATACACAGTAGAGAAAACCAGTTATGGCAATCAGTGTATGTTTTTACTTTCCTTGCATACGCTGGGGAATTATTGTAACAGGGTCCATTTGACGAATGAATAATTTCACTGTTCCATGTTCAGCTGTGTATCCTATAATATGTCTGTCGTCTGTTGTCGGTCTCGCATGTGTTTTGACGCGCTTGTTACACACGTAATCTCCAAAACTACTGGACCGATTGCTGCGGAATTTCGGGTGTCGTGTAGATGTTTAACGCTAACCAAAATTTTTTTGTTCATATCCACAAAGAATTTGATGACGTCATCTCAAAATTTTCCTAGGTAAGTTCTATTTATTTTTTGGAAAATAATGTGGTTCTGCACGTGTTTTATTAATCTTCCCTTATTTTTTATCTTATCTAGATGTCTACATTTTTGGAAAAGGTTCAAAATTGTACATGAAATTTGTAAATGTAATTTTGGTAATGTTAACTCAAACTTTTGCTAAATAAATCATATTTAAAATGTGTTAAATATTATGCATTTACAGTTATGGTTTATCAGTGCACTCATATTTTAAAACCTGCCTGTACAGATTTAAAAAAATAAAACGTTCAACAAAATTTTATATCTAATTTCGTCGTGGAAACTACTAAACCAATCGTTCTGATATTTAGCACATGTTGAGGTTATCATCAGCCATTCAATTGGTTAACCGGAATTTGCTTATTCATACCCACTAAAATTTTCATGACGTCACTTCAAAAGTTTTTTATTTAGAGGGTCTATTCGTATTCTTTCTTAATTAATCCCTCCATTGTTTTAAACTCATGCATTATATATATTTTCGTGAAGCAAATATTAATTTCTTGTAAGCTCATAAACTAGCAGAAGAGTTTGTCACACTTAACTTGTAACTAGTAGCAGCGAAGTAGATGCTTTTTACTTATTATTTTTTCGAGATGACGTCACCAGTTAGAATTTTACGGAAATGACGTGAGCCTTTCTTACTGCATTCCCTCCATTCATTGGAACTGTACTATACTATTAGTCAAAGCATCAAATTTTTAACAAAAAAATCCATCACCGAATAAAATAATTAGCATATAACTTGCAATAAATAATAACAATAAACATTTTTTGTTTGTAAATAAAGAAATTAAAAAATCATCTCCACGTCCGCTTTCTGAGTTAATGCACTTAATTTAAATTCATATGGTTCTAAACTTGATTTACAGAACAAAAGTAATTAGCCGCTTATGTTGGTAGAAAGGTATGTCGCCAAATTCTCATTGTACTTCAAACAAGAAGTCATTAATTTTCTGTAAAATGAACACTATGTACATACATGTTGTTCAAAGCGGACTAGATTTGTGCAAATTCCAAAGTTGAAAGCCTTTTACGTACTTGAAATACTACTGATTCAACTTCGTTGCTCTATGCAGCGCTGCATATGAGCACGTTTATGGTATTAAACCAACTCCAATCTTGTTTGTTTGCACAAATCTTAAGCATACAAAATGTTCTTGCTTGGAATAGATACTATTTACTATTTGCTTTCAATTTATAGTGCAGCAAGATACAGTTTAATGGTGTTAATATAGCGAAAACGAAGAAGGATATCTATCCTCTCGGAAAATCTGTGTCTCACCTTAGGTTTTGTATATTTCCCATAGGAAACATTTGAGAATCTATATTTATGCCCGTGCAGACTTGTTTCAGAGTTCACAGTTTGAATAATAAAGCAGCTCCTCGAAGCATCTCCATATTGTTATTATCCATGCTCTTACTTTTTATTATTAAACTTAATTAAACCAAGTGGAACAATAGGTGACTTTATTCAACGTAGTCAGAATGTGTTGGCGAAAGCTTAGGACGGATTTACATTCAGCCAGTCAAATATACTCCGTGTTTATGAAAGCCTGCCATTAATAATCTTTTCCGTTTTACAAATTGCTAATAAGGAGAATGAAACGGCGTTTTGTTTAATACCGATTTCGATTCATTCAGTTAATTCCCCAGTTTTCGCAATTTATTCGTAGTCGATTAACGTATTGAGACATTATGTTTGAACCGAGGTCAAATGGAATTGCCAGACTTAATTATTGTGTATGCCAAAGAACAACAGTGTAATAACCTGGAATTTCCATTTAAATCTTTTCGCACGAGCCGCTTTTCTACGCTGCCATTCAAACCGAATTTCCTTAATGCTTCCATATAAAGGCTGAAAATACAACTGTATAAATCATGCTTGCGAATAAAACACACAAAAAAGACACTGTATATGCAAATGAGGTTAGAGTAATCCTCTGGAATAACGTCGTTTCTTTACAGTAATGGAAATAATTTTTGATTTTCCTTTAATTCACTTAGAAGTTGATTACTAATGTAATCTATCATGTGATCGAGAAAAAGGCGTCTAGTAAACCATGAAATGTATTTTTAAAATAATGATGTTAACACTGTAGTAAATGTCAAACTGATCAATAAGAACAAGAACGCGTTAGTGTTGCCAACATAATTTTTTTAGAATGATATTTCAAAGGTTGCTAGACGACTACTTGTTTACAACCTTGAAGTTTCTGAAAAAAAAAATCCTGAAGTAGCCAGACCTACTTACACAAAACAAAATGAACAAGACGAAGTGACAAAAAAGTTGACAGAACAACTAATCTCAAAGATCGATGTTATCTTCTATTTCTGGAATAGTAAATTCTAGCTGTATGGCGTAGATAGAACCACGAAACGGTCTATCATATTTAACGATGCAATATCCTCTTTTTCGTTTAATAAGTTTTAAACATCCTCAGGAACCGATCTGGATGGAAAATGTAGATGTGATCTATTCCATAAAACCAAATCAGATAGTTAAAGTGAGTTTTTCGTGAATGTATCCGTCAAGATAAGATAAAATATTTACTCGGCAAGAGACAATTGTGATTTTAGATCGGTGAAACAGAACACGGATACGCTTTCAGACGAGAATTTCAAACCTGCACTGGCCAACAAACCCAAGTTAATATTGTTTGTTCCGTACTTCACCGCAAACGACACTTTTCTCCACCGTTACCACATTGTATTATTTTTATTAAATTTTCGCTCTCGTCTTCAGGATCTTACTTTAAAAGAAAATCACACCATAATTTCGTTTGTTTTTATTATTACTATTTTCAAAGATAAATCGGAATATTTCGATCTAAAGTCTATAAATTTGTATTTTCACTGTCGTGACAACAGAAATAAATTTTCTCCGGCGCGATTTTAAATAACACCAGAAAAAACACGTCCTTGTCACTACCATATTATAATAAATCACACTTTTAATTCCCTTCGGACGCTACAATTTATCAGCGGGGTATATTTTACACTTAACAGGAGTTGGCTTAAATCGAAACACGGATATGATTCATATGCGCAAGTTAAATAAAATGAAACTCTGGAAACCGTTACTAATTTCATTGTGAGGTGTACACCACAGAGGCGGACTAAAAATTCTCACACGTTACAGACTGAATACACCAACCTTAGATCAATAGTTACGTGATCTAGTTCTACCATCAACAGATTTAAGTATACTGTATGACACCTTTTTTGTTTTTGAATCCATTAATTGGTTTTGAAAATAAACATACATCTCGATCGCCAACTTGAGAACCCCTTAGTATTGGTTGATGTCATCTTATTTATATCTACCAAAATTTATTCAGAAGATGGTCTAAAATCTCAGGCGTTACCTACTTCAATAATCGTACACTTAATTCAAGAACGTTTTACCAGATTTTAAAATCACCATGACTAGGGGTGGTACATTACCTTAAAAAGCGCATTCTAAATTTTGCCGCAGAAGGCAAAAAATCTATTACTGAAATAGGACTGTAAACACTTTTTCAGCTTTGTGGTGACATGTCAATTTTGATACGTGGTAATTTAATGCGGTCCTCCCGGAAATGCCCCGATAACACCATTTCGGCTCTTATTATGCATAAGGTTCTCCTCCGCAAGCACGAGGAGACAAGATAAATTGGACAACATTTCGAGAATTAGATGTCGTAAAACAAATACATCCTATTCTTTCTCCAGTTTAAATGGCCACGATCAAGCGACTTTCAGTTATTTAAAATTTCATGTTGCCAACACGAACTTGTCGCCATAAATTCCTGTTTCCCAGCTTCATATTTATGCAGCCAATAATAATACAAGCGGTTCACTCTTCGAGTCGGTTTTTATTGTGGCACAAGCTGTACATTATTATTTTGGTTGCAGATTTCAACCAGGACGGCAAATCGGACAATATAACTTTTATGGTGAAGCGAATTAAAGTGCATACAACTGACGCTCTAAGGGATCCCCTCTACAGATTTCCCAACAATTATGGCGTCGAGAAGTTTCTTGAACTTTTCTCAGGTAAGTGAGGTGCTCATAAATAATTTACGGAGAGCGAATGGCGATGAGTGTGAATGTTGAGAGGTCGATCAAAATTCTACTTTGTGTAAACAATGAAATCGATAGGGTGTGTATACCGGAAATGGTAGATTTCGAACACGAGCACTAAAAGGCTAATTAGCATCATGCCGGAATACATGACCAAAATGCCTCCGATATGATCCAGGTTTACTTGAGGTGATTGAGGGAGGTTTATGTTGATTAGTTTCTCTCTTCGGATCCAGATGTATTCCAATCTTTGGAGAATGCCAGTGCTGCGCATTTTCTGTACCCTGAAATTTTAGACAAATCACTAATAACACTAAAGTTGTTACCTATTAAAATTAAGCCGCCATCTTTTTAAAAAAGCGAGTAGAAAATATTACAAAATTTGATAGTGAATGCTTTGTGGTTTTGTCAAATGCTGCCCATTGTTGTAAGACTCATTTTGAGGATAATTTCAAATGCAAAATAAGAAGCAAAGTCAAGAAAACCTCTGTTAAGTGTACAATTTAGTGAAGGTTAAGCAATTGTATCATGATGATGTACTTGAAAATAGCCTTATTTATCATCATGTCGTAATCATTTAACATAGATTTTGATATATTTCCAGCAAGTTATCAATGAAACTCAACAGGTGGTGAATGAATTTTTAAATTTGATATTAGAGCTGGTTCCTATAGTAAATATAATTGTAAATTCTTGGAAACTACGAATGAGGAAAGTTATAACGTGCGATCAAAAATAAAACACCTCAAGCTACTACTTGATGTACAAATGCTTTTGTGAACGTATGGCGCAGCTAGCATCGTAATTACACAACAGAACTGTCAGTGTCATACCCGTTCTGTCACTTCTGAAACGTCTGTCTTGTCCCGTTTTTAATTCAACTGACTGGATCTGTCACTATTCAAATTGTTGATCTAACCTCAATTTATTTGAGCATCGAGAAGTAACTAGAGGTGTTCTTTAATTAATCGCTCGTTATTTTATTATACAATCTTTGATATCTAGTAAGCCATGCGCACCAGGTGATTTTAAAAATCCATGGCCTACTAGATATCGAACATTAAACCCTGTCCTATACTTCATGAGAGTTTAACGTACGAGAATTAAGAGAATTAATTTTACGAAACCTTGGCCGATTTTAAAGTCACTTAAAGGCACTAATTTATCATATTTTTTTTACAGCACTTACGTAAAAATTTAACTGAATAATTCTAGTATATGGCGCGAGAGTCTATTTATGTTATTAGAAGAGGAGAACGTCTTTGAAACTGGTTGTAGTAAAATCATGCGGATCATTCCTTTAGTGGTGTGTTGTGACCTTGACATGTCAAAACATGACATATAGGTAAGATATTTTAAATGGCATAGGAGTCGAGAAATCTCTCATTTGAATTATTCCACAAATTGCACCCAATAAAAAAAAAGAAATATTTTTTTAACTCTTGACAAAATCGATATATTAATTTGACGACTATATTATATTCAAAATAACGCAGATAGCACGTGTTATTCCTGGTTTCTGTTTTGTTTCTTTTTTTTGCATTGATGACTTTTTTCTCGAACCTGAGATAACGATGTATTGCAATAGGGTACATCGAACAAATGGCTACTTTCATGTTTTCTCAATATGTCGAGACCCCTAGACTACGAAAAAATGGATTTCTCGTTTTCGTCTGTCGTCTGTCTGTCTATCTGTCTGTATGCCTGTCTGTCTGTGTTTGTGTATTTTGTTGGAGATAATTTAGGAAACTACTGCACCGATTGTTGTTAAATTGCATATGTATGTTAGGAATATCGTATAAAGGGTAAACCACTAAACAAAAACAAAACACTTCGATAATGTCACCTCAAATTTTTCATCAAAAATTCCATTTACATAAACATATTCTTGTATTTATGGTTTATGAATCCGCCTTCAGTTTCCCCTAGGCATCCAGATTTTCACAAAAAAATCCAAATTGAATAATAACCTTTTATGCAAATATAAACACATCAATTACCAACGCCCGGAGGCATATCGGTTAGTAGAGGGAAACAAACGCTCAAAAGAGGAGTCACTCAACTTTTCAATTTTTTTAATTATATGTAATAATTTTGACAGTTCAAGGTCACAGCGCGTCACTATAAGGACACTCATCACTTGATTACTATCTAGACGTTATACCGGGTATCTGGAAAATGGCGGATTAACTCTCCGCTACGCTCTTAACAATCAACTGGTGAGTCTGGGAAAAATAGTAAAAAAATTCTTTCTCACATTTTGGTGGAGTTTTAATGATTTTAAAATTGGTTCTTTTGCTAAGGTTAACAACTAAACTACACATTCATTATCACAATAACTAGTAATAAAACTTTTAGTTAGTATTTCTCTTGCCCATGACCATGTTTAATTACCATTTCAGTTAGAATGCACAAAGATATGGCTGTGTTGTTTTTGTAATAATTTGATAAAATTCCATTTGACAACAATGTTTGCCTGATATAAAGCGAAGGTGGATTTCAGTCACCATCGTTAGAGTGTTTTTCTGTAAAAGGTACACACCAATAAACGTGCGCAGAAACGAAATTTGGTTCGGCATTGCGGGGTGAAAGAATCCAGCACGTGGTGATTCATCTTCAGTGGCGTCTGGCGTTAGAGAACTCCTTGGAGAATTTTCTTGGTTTATTGTGAGTGTATAGTTTGATTTTTTGGGAAAAAATTGTTACGCCTATGATTTTATAACATCGGAAAGACATTTTCACAAAATAAATTTGTGTTTCCATTTTTTTGGCTGTGATTTCTGGTACCACATAACATTGGCCCCAGATTCAATATCCAAAAGATACGCCACTGTCTATAGTATCATCTATTCCCGCCAACTTCCACACGCAGATCTCTGACTCCGCCCATGTACCTTTTAGAGAAAAGCACTCTACTAAGAAACCAGAAAATAGGCCGACGGTATTCACGTGTGCAGTGTTGCCAATTTTACTTTTATAAAATTAGGTTTTTTTCGTAATCTACATCATAAAGAATTTTTTTATTATTTTTTCGGGACTCCCGAAATCCTCGTATATAACGTTCTGAAGAGTTAATTTGCCATTTTCCAGACACGCGGTATATTAAATGTTGCAAAATTTTATTGGAAAGAAAAAGGCTCTTACAACATTAATCAAACTGGACAATCTGAAAGGAGTTTTCGCTACTTAAAGTACTTCATTGATTAGTCATTAACTTGCGGATTGTACAAGGTGTTTATTAAACATGCATCAGAAATTCAGCGAGTTTATTTCTTGGGTTGCTTTAAGATTTTTTTTTTGCCCTTGAGTGATTCTCGGAATGACGCTATTTTAACATATTTAGATTTCATTGTGTTAATGAAGGAAATAATTTGTACTCAAAAGCTTGAATAAGATACCATATTTTCATAGTATTTCGTAAAAAAATGAGGCTAACGCAGGATTGTTCGGATCACCCTGGTAACTGTAAAGAAAGTATTTATTTTTGTACACAAACAAAAAATAATTTGAGGTCGAGCTTTAGTTAACCAACTTCGGCATGGATACATCGGATATTATCACTTCACTAAAAACTAATTAATTTTTTTTATCTTTTGACGAATTTGAAGTTTGGTTAGTAAAAGCGGCTGAAAAAAAAAATAGTATGTTGTATTGCTGCAAAAACTGCGTTTTTGGACCTCTTAAAATTGAACTTCCGAAATCGAATATTTACAAAACAAAAATATCTAAAAAGAACATGCAAACTGGCACTGACAATTGACGCTTGATTTAAGCCCTGTAACGTTATAATTACTTCTGGCAGATTCGTGCTAAAGTAAAATTTCAATTTTTTCCGAAACACACCCATTTATCGTTCGGTGTTGTTTATAATTTAATAATTATTCGAAATGTTTTTAGAAAAAAAATTTGACCTTAAACTTTTTAATTTTAAAACTTAAAAAAACACTAGATTTTTTGATATCTTAAGTTCTTTTTTTGCTGCTTATGACTTTATACATATTTTAACCCAAATGTATATATTTAGAAGAAGTTAAAATTTAACGAGAAAGTAGACTCAAAAGGAAAAGTTATCATCACTCTGATAAATTTGATGACGAAACGTCAGGCCAAAAGGGTGAAAAACCAGTAACAACAGAAAATAAATGTTTTTACATATCCGGTTGAATGCTCTGCCCTTAGTGCATACATATATCTAAACTATTTTTGGGCCGAATACTCGACCCTATATGGTTTAACAGCTTCCAATATAAATGAGTATCTCTAACATACTGTAAAATTGAACTTCCAGGGTCACTTCCGATTCTGAAATACTTTTTTTCTGACAACTGTACTTTTACTTCTCACGTCTCACATCCAGAATCGATCAAATGCAGTTATGACGTCACGCTTAGATCTCATCCTAATTTAACCTTGAAATCTGTAAGTGTAAGTTTAAATAGGTGCCGTTTGAAAACATTTTTATCTCAGTTACAAGAGTAGAACAATTAAGAGGGAGATTATCCTAACAGCAGTACTAATTTTTATTGTCGTTTAAATTTTAAGGTTCCTTTTGCATCACTTTGGGATTTCAAATATGTCAAACACGTCTTCCTGTCTGTTGAAGTGTCCTTTATATCGTGCAAGAATATTTCAAACTTCATGTTTTTGCGAACGTGTAATGCAAAACACGCTACAAAGGCAAGCGCTTCTATTCTATTTAAAGAGACCATCAGCAACTCACATATTGTTTATTAGTTCCTTATACTCGAAACCTTTCATCAACAGAAAGGAATTTCCCGTCTCGAATAATCTTTTCTGGTTGTTCATTACTTTGCACGGTATATCATAATTTTTCAATATCATATCCATCACCGCCCGATTCTCCAGTATTACTACCGCTTCGTTACACAAAATTGAAGCTAAATTCTCTTGAGAAATAATATCCCTGCAGTTGCGTCCGTTCAATATACTGCGCCACCGAGGAAGTACGTCTT